AGCAAGCATGCAGGCGGGAGCAATGGCGCCGCATGTGCCATCAGAGGATGGCGGTGTTGGTGGCGGGGCCGATGGATGACGCTCAGATAACGGAGCCATCACCGTGATGGAGGATAGCGCCCGGGGCATATCACTCGGGGGGGCTTACAGGCATAGGAGGGGTCTTCCAAATGCATACTTGGTATATTTTAGAAAGATATCAGCGTGCTAGTGGCTCTTATGCAAATTGCGCAAATTAGTGTGGCAAACAGGGGGGGGGGGGTATGTCATGCTTATAAGTTTTCAAATATGTAAGCTCCAGGTGCGTCTTAGCTACTCTTGGGCGCTTCTGGGTGGCTAGTCTGGTGTAACTTAATAAGTTCCCATGTCTGGGCTGCCGAACTGAAACTCTTGGCTCTTCCTCTCCCTCAAGGCCATGAACGCGCTGTCCGCGCTCAAGACCACGGAGCTCACGAGCATCCTCTGCAAAGGCAGCAGCGCGCTTGCGCGTGGCAAACGGCGGCGGCGGCTGCGCGGGCCCGGCACTCGCACAGTTCCTCAAGGCCCCGCTTGCGGACGCCCTGCAGGCCTCGCGCTTGCGCGACAACGTGCGCGCGCTGCAGATGCACAAGGAGCTCGGCGTGGTGGACACGAAGCAGCTGCCCCTCGGCGACAACGGCGCTGGTGCGAGTGCGGGTGCTGCCGCGGAAGATAAGGAGCGGGCAATGCTCAGCGGTGTCGCGCAGGTGCAGAGCCGGCTGTTTGAGGGCAAGCTCATGAGGCGCACTGTCATGAATATTACATATTCCGGATGGTTCTCCCGGATTCCATGTTATTCTTTTACTTTCTATACACCTCCGTATATTTGTAGGATATTCTAGATATTCAGTCTGACATGTATATAAGGAGCTCGTACTGCTCAATAACAAGCCAGACTCGAGCTGGTCTTTCCTCGCTACTCATCCTTTGGCCCGCTTGTTTCCTCCTCAGCTTTGTCGTAGCCCAGTCCAGTTGGATTGGTAGTTGCTGACATTAGCTCGAGTCTCCACCAACTGCCCTACGACGATCCTCGTCACTCCCACACCAACCATCAACCCACTCCACACGACGATCCATCTCATTTTCCCAACCGAAATCTCACCCCAATCCTAACCCTATCGACTTCTACCGCATCAAGACCCCGGGATTCTCCGTGCACTTGCGCGTTTTTACCACATCATACCCCCGAAGCCACCTCTGTAATCACCAGCCCTTAGGTGGCTGGACAGAGCTCCATCCAATTAGAATTGTACACTGCCCTACCATAGGTGGTGTTAAACGCTTTGCGCAGTGCAAGCGGGTATCCCCGAGTACGACGTGGCAACCGGCTGAGGCTGGGCGTCGGAAAGGAGACAACAGTTAGATCGGCGATCCCTGTCAGGGCGTCAGACCGAAGAGACTTAATTGCTCTTTGGGCTGTTGTGTTATTCCTAGAATTGTAATAAAAATAGCGTTTCGGTTCTTTTTCGGAAATTATCATCTCTGGCGAAATCTATCCCTGATCTGGTCGTTACAACACGATTAGTCCCAGGGTTTGCTGCAACCAGCTTCACGGACCCGACACCCCATGACCACGCCTTCTTGCTATTGTAGAGGACATACACATCGAGAACTAGAGGGAAGATCCGTCTACCTACGCAGTGACAACGTACGGTACTGCGCGCAACAACCCTGCCCGCATTTTCCAGATAATAGTAATCGTTGCCCTCGGTGTAGGGAAGGACTACGTGGAGAACTACTACCGAGAGTTACCACAGAAGCACCCTCAGAATCTATCACAGCCCCACAACCCACAGCATCCGGTTCAGAACCCAGAACCAGACGAGATACTCTCGAATCAGTCACTGACCATCTCCGCTCGATCGCCCTCGGAGAATCCGAAGCACCACCAGACCCCGTGGAAGAAGCAGTAGAAGATTTCGAAGATTCGAACCCACCTTCCCGCCGTTCTCCCACTCCACCCTCGTCTCCTTCTGACCCCGGTGCGATGGCCGAAAGCCAAGACAGTGCCGCGCTCCTCAATGGAAGCGCGATGAAGCCCGACGCCTTTGATGGCACCAAATCCAAGTACATCGCTTGGAAAACGCAGATGAAACTCTATGTGGTCACGCAAAGGAAGCGACTGCCGGAGCAATTTGACAGGGTCCTTATGATCCTGTCATACATGAAAGGAGGACATGCAGGCGAATACGTCGCCACATACATGAAGAAATATGACACGGATGAAGACACCGTGATCCAAACCACGAACGATCTATGGAAGGATTTAGATGTACACTTCCTAATCGACGAACAGGCAGAAGCGTACGACAGGCTGCAGGCAATGCAGATGGGAGCACTGTCGGCACAAGAGTTCTTCTCGAAGTTCGAGTTGTGCGCCTTCCAGGCAAATATTCACGACTTCGAAGCGCACTTTCAGGAACTCAAGTCGCTTCTAGAAAAAGCGCTCCGGGCCGACATCATTCGGCTTCTGTATAATTCATCAGAAGAACTCCCCGCTACATACGCGCTATACAAACAACGGGTCACGCGCATCGACCTAAATCAACAACAGTACCGTCGGCGAAACCCACAGTCCCAGCGACAGGGACAATTTCAACCTCGGCAGCAGCAGGCACAAAGTACGCCGCGAGCACAGGCTAACGTAGCCACGCCAGCCGCAAGCGCCCCAGTGCAAACGCGCCGCGATGGGACAGGCGTCACATTCAGTGGTAGAGGCCAGCCAATGGAACTAGACCAAGCACGACGCTTGGGTCTCTGCTTCCGATGTGGGGAAAAGGGTCATCTTTCACGCAATTGCCCTAACCGGCAACAAGCTCAACAAGTACGAGCCGCGGAAGCATCGGTAGTTTCCACTACCAACACGTTCACCCCATTAGCGTCACTCAACGAAGCCCCTGCCGCGACGGCAGAACCGTTTGATTGGAAAGCGGCGATTCACGAAGAGATTTGCGCGGCAATGAAGGGTTTTGCAAGCGGTCAGCCAGGCGCGTAGCCGAGTTGACCAAGCGTAATTTTACGAACTACCTGTGTTCTTGGTTTGGAGTAGCAATGTACATACCAGAAAAAGGGGCGTCCGCAGAGCGGCGCGGAGAGGCACAACCCTCTTGCTTAATTCTCCCAAATAAAAAATTACCTACACCAGAACATCAGACCGAACCTACGCAGTGGCAGCGCCACACACTCTGGACGGCGGCTTGGATTCGCCAATGGATAGTCAGCAAAGAGACGGCAGCACTCAGACTGTTGACTGAATGGATACACTCAAAGAAGAGTGTTGACGCCTCAGAAGCCTGTATAAACCAAATCAGGCAGATGAAAGAAGAAGAAGCTATAAACTTCTTGAATGAACTACGGAAGCAACCTCGTTTTATCCGAGGAAGGAAGGGGACTCAAATGGACGTTCCAATGATCATCACCACCCTGGACACGCAGCAGCGCTTATCAGTCAAAGTGTTATTAGACACAGGATGCACTGGATCTTCGATTGATGCGCAGTTTGTCCGCGATAACAATATCGCCACAAAGAAACTGCCATCACCGATCCCTGTCTATAATGCGGACGGCACGCATAATGCCGGCGGGGCAATCACCGACTTTGTCGAATTAAGGGTGGAAATCCAGGATCACGTTGAACGACTTCCGTTCGCTGTTACAAATCTAGGAAAGACTCCTATCTTCCTTGGATATGAGTGGTTACAGATCCATAACCCATCTATCGATTGGCAAGAACAAATCATTCAGTTTGATCGATGTCCGGTTACCTGCAAATATACCGCCCGATTAATTGATATTGATGGCGATCAGGAGGAGCCCAGCGATCCGGAGGCTCACCTAGAAGAAGGGGATAGAATCTTTATTCTTGACCACGAAACCTACTTTGCTACGAAAACAGCGCGCATTCGCACTACGGCCACTGATCTAGCCATTAAGGAAAGTCTGAAACACGAGACTAAGACGTTTGAAAACACCGTCCCAAGTCACTATCACGACTACTCCGATGTGTTTAGCAAAGAAGACTTTGATTCCTTACCGCAAAGGCGACCCTGGGACCACGCAATAGAACTCACACCAGGTGCACAACCGATCAGTTGCAAAGTTTATCCCATCTCCGTAAATGAACAAAAAGAACTTGATGAGTTCATAGAAGAGAACCTCCGAACCGGGAGAATTTGACCATCGAAATCTCCGTGGGCTTCACCATTCTTCTTTGTCAAGAAAAAAGACGGACGACTTCGGCCTGTACAAGACTATCGGAAGCTGAATGAGCTCACGATCAAGAACCGCTATCCACTTCCTTTAATACAGGAACTAGTGGACAAGCTAAAGCAGGCACGGTACTTTACAAAATTGGACGTTCGATGGGGATACAACAACATCCGCATTAAAGAAGGAGACGAAGAGAAGGCAGCATTCCTAACAAATCGAGGACTATTCGAACCACTCGTCATGTTTTTTGGCCTTACCAATTCCCTGGCTACGTTCCAGACCATGATGAACGACATATTCCAAGACCTTATCAGTCAAGGACACGTGGTAGTTTATCTAGACGACATCATGATCTTTACTCAAGATTTAAAAGAACACCGTCGGATCACGCGGCAAGTTCTTCAGATCTTAAGGGAACACAAACTTTATCTGAAACCGGAAAAGTGCAAGTTCGAAAAGGCAGAAATAGAATACCTCGGAATGATAGTAGGAAAAGGAGTTGTTCGCATGGACCCCGTCAAAATAGAAGGAGTTGTCAATTGGCCACAGCCCGAAAGTAAACGAGACATTCAGGCATTCCTTGGGTTTACCAACTTCTACCGAAGGTTCATCCGGGATTATGGCAAAATAGCAAAACCGCTCAGTTCACTAACAGGCAATGCTACTTTCGAATGGACCATCGAACAAGAAGTAGCCTTCACAAACCTGAAAGACGCCCTCTGTACAGCACCAGTATTAGCCATACCCAATGACAATGACCCATATCAAGTAGAATGCGACGCATCGGATTTCGCTGTAGGAGCGGAATTAGCTCAGAAGCAAGACGGCAAATGGAAACCCGTCGCCTACCTATCCAAAGCTATGACAGCAGCCGAAAGAAATTACGAGATTTACGATAAGGAACTTCTCGCAATCATGACTAGCCTTGATGAGTGGCGTCAGTATCTCATGGGCGCCATACACCCATTTGAAATATGGACAGATCACAAGAACCTAGAATACTTCCGGAAGCCACAGAAGCTCAATCGATGACAAGCACGATGGGTAACCGAGTTAGCTGAATACCAATACTCGTTGCATCACAAGCCCGGTAAATCTAATGGCAAAGCCGACGGACTATCTCACCAAAAAAGGCACAATGCAGGAAAAGAGGACAATTCCGATATCGTGTTACTAAAACCAGAACATTTCCGCGCCTTGATTTGTAGTACTGTATTTAGTTTAGAAGGAATCGACCAGGACTGGGTCGCAGAAATTAAAAAATACAAAAAGAACCAAGACTCGTTAGTTACCATAGCTTTACAAAACAAGGACAAAGACTGGAACGAAGATAGTACCGGACTCGTGACATGGAAGAACCGTATTTACGTACCAGTAAATAAAAAACTCCACGAGCAAATCATTGCTCATCACCATGATACCCCATTGGCTGGACATCCCGGTCAATACAAAACACATGAAATGGTCACACGTAACTACTGGTGGCCCCGAATTCGAGAAGACATCAGGAAATACGTGGCCGGATGCGAGAAATGCCAAAAGACCAAGGTCCATACGACACGACCTACCGGACTTCTATTTCCAAACGAAATTCCTTCACGACCCTGGGAAGTAATCTCCGTGGACAAGATAGGCGTATTACCGGATTCCTTCGGGTACAATGCGATTCTCGTAATTGTCTGCATGTACTCTAAGCAGATAATCGCAATACCAAGTACTATTGAACTCAATGCCGAAGGGTGGGCCAAAGCACTCCGAGATAACGTAGTCGCACATCATGGATTACCCTGAAAAATCATCAGCGATAGGGGAACTGAATTCAAGAATCAATTCATCTCGGAGTTGTACCGATCCCTTGGAATCGAAGCCAACCCCTCAACCGCGTATCACCCCCAGACCAACGGACAAACGGAACGCATCAATCGCGAAATAGAACAGTACCTCCGATTGTTCATCAACTACCGACAAGCAGATTGGGCTGAATGGTTGCCACTCGCAGCCTTTTCGTATAACAATAAAGTTCACTCATCCACCGGATATACCCCGTTCTTTGTCAATAAAGGGTATCACCCTTACGAAGGAACCCAACCGGTGCGAGAAGGACTAAGCGAAAACGTCCAACAATTTGTCGATAGAATGGATCGAGTACGTGAAGATACTAGCGCGGCTATCAATCTAGCACAGGAGTCTATGAAGCGTTTCTACGACCGAAAGAGAAAGAGCGGACCAGAGTACAAAGTTGGGGATAAGGTCTGGCTAGAAGGGATAAACGTTCGAACCGACAGGCCAATGAAGAAGCTCGACGATAAGCGATATGGACCCTTCAAGGTCAAACGCAAAGTCGGCGCTTCTGCCTATGAATTGGAACTCCCACGTCAATGGAAACAACACCCCGTTTTCAATGAAAGTCTTCTCAGTCCCTTCAAAGAACCCACGTATCCCTCTCAGCAGCGTGAACCGGTAGTCCCTGACCTCGTAAATGGCGAGGAAGAATGGGAAGTTGAAGATGTCCTTGACTCTCGCCGTGATCGAAATGGGAATCTTGAGTATCAGGTTCTCTGGAAGAATAGCCCCCATGGTGATCGCCGTTCCTGGGAATCACGAGTGAACTTGACCAATTGTCAAGAACTCTTACAGGAATTCCATGCAAGACGGCCCGACAAACCTGCGCCCATGACGATTCGAATTCCCCCTTTGTTGACACGACCCGTTCACATACTCACGTGCGATACCACTCTTTTGGTACAACGAATGGGTGGAATTCTCCCGAAGCAAGGATTTGAAGAATCCGCTGGGTTTGATCTGTACTCGGCTGAAAGTGTCAAAATACCGGCACGAGATCGCAAGATTGTCGGCACCGGCATAGCAATGCGTGCCCCTCATGGAACTTACGCACGAATTGTGCCACGAAGTGGATTAGCAGTCAAAGGGATAGATGTCGGAGCTGGAGTCGTCGACCGAGATTACACCGGAGAAGTACGCGTAGTGTTGATCAATTCCACAAATCAACCCTTCCACGTGCGCGCCGGCGATCGAATCGCACAAGTCATTCTGGAACGCATTGCGTCATGCGATATCGAGGAGGTGTCCAGTTTAACAGAAACTCAACGAGGAGCAGGAGGTTTTGGATCGACGGGTAAATAATCGTGAGGACACGATTCTAGACGGGGGGGTAATGTCATGAATATTACATATTCCGGATGGTTCTCCCGGATTCCATGTTATTCTTTTACTTTCTATACACCTCCGTATATTTGTAGGATATTCTAGATATTCAGTCTGACATGTATATAAGGAGCTCGTACTGCTCAATAACAAGCCAGACTCGAGCTGGTCTTTCCTCGCTACTCATCCTTTGGCCCGCTTGTTTCCTCCTCAGCTTTGTCGTAGCCCAGTCCAGTTGGATTGGTAGTTGCTGACACGCACGAAGCCTTCCGCGCCTGTGGCGGTGGAGAACAAAGACACCGCCGCGCGGCTGCAAGCAATCATCTGCTGGAGTCGACAGCAACGCTGGTGATTCCATTATGACTACCATCGAACTCCCGCTCGACGAGATTCTCAACAACGACAGCCCTGGCGGCTGGTCAGTAGTGTTCAACGGTTCCAAGGCTCGCAAAAGCAGCAAGTCAACCTTTACTTCTCAGGAAGAAGATATGAAGCCTGCAAAAAACGACGCGCAAGTTTTCGCCTCTGCTCTCACATGTGACGACCATCCGCATGAGGACGAGTCGATGCTCTCGTCAGCGAATGCGCTACGCGCCGTATTGCACGTCGTCGAAGATCTCGTCCCCCGGACGATAACGCTATTCTGCCTCGACCCGAACCCTGTGCCCAGCGCGACCCAGTCAGTGGTAAGCGGCTGTCGCTCAGCCGCCTCAGCGCGCGCGTGCCTCCAAGCAGCCATCCTCGCCCAAAGGTATGTCCGCTCTCCCCTCGCCGACGCGCCACGGACACACATACTCACCGGCCCCAAAAAAATTGTCCCCCTCACAGGCAAACGCAGGAGCGCAGCCTCGGAAGAGCAAGACACCAACACTGTCGTGTTCGCGCCCACCCTCACCCCCGGCACCTTCTTCGACCCGCCTGCACCAGAAGACCGCACCGCACCCGCAGAGTCCCTCCTCTTCCCAGACCTCGACCGCGAAGAGAGCCCGGCCCCGACGCGTTCCGGCCGCGGGGGACACGCGAAAAAGAAGCCCGAGGACCACGTCCCGCGCCCACCCAACTCCTTCATCCTCTTCCGCTCCGCCTTCATCTGGAACCAGCACGTCTCCGCGACCGTTGAGACCAACCACAGCACCCTCTCGGCCATCATTGGGTGTACATGGAAAGGCCTTCCGAAGAACAAGAAGGCGTTCTGGCACCGCAAGGCGAAGGAGGCCCTCGAGGAGCACGAGCGCAAGTTCCCCGGCTACACCTTCCGCCCGCTGCACAACAAGGGCAAACGTGTGGGCAAGCGCAAGGTGCCCGAAGTCGGCACCAAGGACCTCATCCGCTACCAGAAGATTGCTGATCTGCTTAACCAGGGCTACAAGGGCACATCGCAGAGTTTGACCGCAATCACATACCGGAAATTGTCACCAGCTTCGAGGCCCCCATCACAACGGGCAGCTTCAGGCTGTCCTCCTCTGCCTCACTTCCCGAGAATGCCAGCTCACCTTCCTTATCCGACGAGGCCTCCGAGAAGAAGACGCACACGACCAGCAGCTAGCCGGAAATGTCTGCAAAGGGCAAGTCCAAGGAGACGCCCGCGAAGGAGGAAGCCAGGGAATCGCTGTTCGAGTTCGATGCGTCAGAGTCAGAAGACTCGTATTGCACCACCACAATGTCCTCTCCTTACCCTACAATGCCAATCACTGACACAAATCCACCATTTGTGAGTGCATCGTGTGCCAGCCTTGAAGCCCAGTGAAAACCCCGTCCGCCCGAAGCGACCGAGGACTATCTGAGCCTATCGAAAATTCACTGATCTACCCCCAGCGACCTCAGAGAAATCAGCAGACGCCGGAGAAGCTCTGACGTCCGCGCCCATCGGCTGCGTCTCCATTGAGTTGGCGGTGCACCGTGGTCTTTGACGCGTCCATTAATGCCTCTCCAACGTGTCCAAACGCCACCGACTCTTTTCCAAATCCAAATCCGAGTCTGAATGCGAGGACTTTGAACTAATGACTCCAATGTCCCGACGCCGCCGACCGATGCCACCAAATCAAAGCAGAGATGCCCTATCCCACTTATATAAGGGCACACCTCTGGCGACAGCGCCGCGCTGCTCTTTTCCTGCTCGCCCCCCACCATGCCACCCGTCGTGCCCCGCATCCCTGTAGTCCCCGTCCCGCTATCCAATCTGGC